AGCTCCAGCTTTTATGTGCACCAGTGGGTGGCAGGTTATGCTATTTAGCCTGGCCCAGGTCTTCCATGTGGGCAGATTCCTTGGCCTGACCCAGACATGTCCTCTGGTTTCTCCTGTGTAAACCACTCCATCTCAGCTCCCTTGTTACCTGTGAGTGCAATGGCATGGTCCATGTAAGACTCTAGAAGTCATTCCTCCCCTTAGCTGCTCCCACTCCAAAACGGCCACAGATCAGTTCTGGTATAGATGTTTGGTCTAGTTAAGACACCTCGGTCTCCCACTGAACTAGCTGGTTTAATAGCTAGTTCTAGCTCCTGGCTCCAACTTCCCGCTACCTGCAGACCCTGGGAGGCAGCCATGGAGATTATCACCATCACCTGGGAGACCGGGATTGCGTTCCTAATTCCCAGCTGTGACCTTGCCCTAGTCCTTGTGATCATTTGGCGAATGAATCAGCAGATGGGTGTTCTGTCTGTCTCTTTCTAAACAAAGTAAAATAATTGGATTTAAAATAAATCGATTCCTCCATTCTGAGTATTTAATCTTTTTAAACTTTATTTTCATACCTATATACAATGGTAAACATATCATTATGACCTATGATAACTTATCAAGATATTAAGTATTTCTATTCCATCTGTTTTAAAATCCTTATTTACTTCTCAAGGCAAATACCCATTCATCAATAATAGAGTTGTTTCTTTAACAAATTGTTTCCCTGTCCTATTTTCTAGGGCATTACAGTCCTTGTGGTAGAGCCTTCTTCAAATCTAGCCTAAATTATTCAATTAGAGCCAATTGGTTTCCTGCAATCCCCATGGTAGCACTCCACCTGGTCTCCTCCGAGGCTCCTTGCTCCGTGGAAGGCCATGGGCATGACACCCTTTGGAGTTGGACAGCTTTCACCTGGGCTCCAAGACTTGCACTCAGGAGTGGATGGTCTCTGTTCTTTCATGAAGAGGAAGTGGTTTAGTACCACCGTAAGTGGTGCAAGAAGCTGGAGGCAGCCCTGGCTGGGGAGGAGGAGCTGGAAGATTTGGAACAAGTGTTCTGCGTTCTTGCCACTCCCTCATTCAGCAAATGGAAGGGCAATGGCTTCCATGGTTCTGTACGTCCTGGTTCCAAGAATCACTCTGAGTTTGATTGCCATTCTGGAGGATGCACTTATGTCTCAGTCTGTTTTTGTTCTGTATATTAGGTGTTAGGCACCAAGGCTTGAAATGGAGAGAAACCATCTCCTACTGTTCTTCTCTGATTCCTCTTGGTTTAGGGGTTCATGCAGGCATTGTGAAATTAAGAACAAAAGTCATTTTTGAATTGTTGGGTTTGGGCCGAGGGCTTCCAGGGAATCATGTATCTTCATGCCACGCCCATGTGGTGAGTATTCAGTAGGTGGCCATATTATAGCTGAATAAACAGGTGTTGAGACTGTATGCTGCAAGAGGAGCTAGAAACACTCCACACAGCCGCTTCTCCAACAGGCTTCCTGCTAGGACATCCTTGCCCTGCCCTGAAAGTAAGGTCATGGCATCCAGTCTGTGCTCCCCTGGGCTGTGTCATAATCCTCTCACCAAGAGACTCAGCACCCACCTCCCCTCAGCCCTGGGGGAACCAGGGTGGAAAATGAAGGACACCCCAGGGTCAAGAGCAGTCCCATTCCCTTCCTCCAGAGGGCGTAGGGAGGGGTCTCTCAACCCCTAAGGAAGATCTACTCTCCTTGCCTGGGTGCACAGTCACAAAGGCAGCATTGGCTGTGAGACACGTCCATAAGCTCACTCAAGCCCTTGTGGCTTATGGAGCTTCAGAAGGTTTGAAGTATCTGGTTTTGCAAGTATCTCTCCAAGGAGACAGAGAGCCAGAAGTTATTCATTTTGAAAAAAAATTTTATTTATTTGAAAATCAGTTACAGAGAGAAGGGGTGGGGAGAGAGAAAGAGAGAGAGAGAGAATCTTTCATCTACTGGTTCACAACCCAAGATGGCTAGAACAGCCAGGGATGGGCCAGGTGGAAGCCAGGAGCCAGAAGCTTCTTCCAAGGCTCCCATGTGAGTAGCAGGGACCCAAGCAGTTGGATCACCTTCTGCTGCTTTCCCCAGAGCATTAGTATGGAGCTGGATAGGAAGAGAGGCAGCTAGGACTTGAACTCGTGTCCATATTCGATGCCAGTGTTGCAGACAGTGGCTTTACCCACTGTCCCACAATGCCAGCCCAAGAAGTTGCATTTATTCCAGGAGTTTGTGTTTGGGGAGGATGCTATTCATATCTTGTCTTTACATCACCCAAAGCCTTGCTCCTTGGAGGATTTTGTGGTGGGACTGGTAGAAGAAGCATAAATAAAGCATCATCTGCCCCAATGACCAGAATTCAGAGCTTGCTCTGGTTGCTGCCAACTGTTGCTCTTTAGCTCTTCTTCCCAGCTTTGTTTGTCTCTGCATTGATCCAGAGGGAAAGAGCCCATCTCCCCCTAGGGCACAAGACCAGGGGGAAGGAGAAGGCACATAAAGGAATTCTTGTATTTAGGAGAGAAGGAAATGTTTCTTGTGAAGTTAAACAAAATAATGTAGAACACCCAGCTCGTGACTGGCACATAGTAGGAGCTCAGTGGGCTTGTGCAGCCTCCGGGAGGTGGATTGAGCCGGAGTGAGGGACACCTGCCGAGTCTCATGGGATTGGCAGCTAGCCCACTGGGCATGGCCTTCCAGAGAGAGTGACTTAACGACATTGCCTGCAGGGTATTGTTGCTCAGAAAGTGAACCAACTTGGATGCTTTGGTGTGGATACGGACTTGTAAGACGGTCTCATTTGCATGGTGATGGAGTTTGTTTTTCCCAGAAGCTGCACGTCAAGACCCAGGAGAAAGAGGCATTTCTTCATAGTGATTAATCAGCTCCATCACAAAGTAGCAAAAAAAAAAAAAAAAAAAAAAAAAAAGACATGAAAAACAATTAAGGAAATGAGGGGAAAACTTATCTCCAGAAGTTAAAAAAAAAAAATTGTCCCCACCCAGTCAGCTTGACAGCATTTCCTCTTATGCACCTGCATAAAAGTGACCGGCCCTTTCCAAGTGGGAAAGAGCAAGGCACCAGGAGCAGCTGCCCAGGAAGAGGAGAGCTGAAGCTGAGCATCTGCCCCAGAGAGCTTTGAGACATCAAAGCTGCAGCTGCCACCACCAGAGGCTGCATCCATCACAGGTGCAGGGAGGGGACCTGTTGTCACACCAAGACCGCCTGAGGAACTGGGTGTTTTGTGGAGAGGGGAGGGACACTGCCTAGGATGAACTGCCTGGGACCAAACTGTCAATGAGATGGACTGGGAACTGGGCAGAAGGTTGGGCCATCAATGTCTTCGCCATGCCATCTCATTTGTGTCCCAGAAACTGTGCTGGGCATTTTATAATGTGCTATGTTATTTCAAATGCTTACACTATCAACTATCTCTAAGCATAAAATGTGCTGCGGGCTCAGTGGAACCCAATCAGGAGTGAGTTGCTATCTGTCTAACCTTTCCAGCTGAGGTGTGGGGACCAGTGGAGGGGAATTGTGAGAGGGGTCTCGGCCTGGCGGAGGGCACCCTCCCACTTCTCAGGGCACTCCTTGCAGAAATGGGGCTGAAAACAGGCTCTATTTCTCTGGGTGCCTGTGGCTCATGGAGGAGACAGTTAGGAGGACGTCTGGCGTCCCACATGTGCTGTGGACTCTCTGAATGACTCAAGGTGCCTGGAATCTCCTTAAGAGGGGACAAAACTTGGTGGTGTGCTGTCTCCCTGTACACTTCCTTGCCTGTGGAATTTCTTCCTTTGCTTTGCTGGAAAGAATTGATGAGTTCTTAATGCACATCTTCACTGGGAAGGATTCATAGCTTCTTCCTTTCTAAAGCAGGAGAACCCAAGGATGGGCAGTGGGGGAGGAGCAGGCACAGTTCTAAGTCACAGTGGCCATGAGTGTGGCCAGTGGTGGGGGAGAACTCTGCAGCCCCTCAATGGACTTGTCACTATGTCCACCCTTGCCATTATGACTCCAGCACACACAGCTGCAAGTGACAGTGTTTGGTGGGCACTGTGGAGGGTGCTGGGCAGGGGCTGGTCAAGTCCCTTGTGTGGTCCTCAGACTCAGTTAGCATGCTTAACTCTGTCCATGAAGCTTGTGCTAGTAGGAAGGTGGGGATGTCTGAGAAAGAAGTGCAGTCAGCTGGGTGGTCACTCTGTGCATCATGGAATGCCACTTAGAGTGGGTCAAGGGAGAGGTGGTGGGACAGAGGCAAGGAGGGTGAGATGCTTAGAAGAGGCAACAGTCCTGCCTAGGAGGAAGCTGGCTGCAAGCTGTCCCTGTCACACTGGTTCTAGGAGCAACAGACATGAGGATGTCAGCATGGACTTTTCGGGGGTTAGGGGATACCTTCTCTGTCTCCTCACCAGGGGGTAGGAGGTGAAATCTGCCGAGCTGGCTCCCAAGCACTGATTTTAAGTCATGGCACATAGAGAGATGGTAACGGGAGGGTGTCTTCTATTTTGGGGGCAACCATTAAAAACCAAATGTGGTTTTATGGTTTCTCAGATCTATTGCCTAATTCCTAGGGCATTTTTCCTATTTAACTTATTAAAAACAATGCTTTTTCACTCCTGTTGACAAAGTGAGCTGTGTTGAGTCATAGAAGGCAGTGATATACACATGAATCTGCTTGCTGGGATGAGAGAGAGAAAGAGAGAGAGAAAGGGAGAGAGAGAGAGACACGAGAGAGAGCAAGCTGCATTGCGCCCTGGAGGGGGGCAGATGAGGAGGGAGTAGGGGGTGTGGGGAGGGCCAGGGCTCACATTTGGTTGATTCAAGGAAGAAGAAGGAGGCAGTTGCCCCTGGAGCTCCACTGGCTGAGGTCTTAAGTCTCCTCCTGGCTTCCCCCTGGCCTGCCCTCTGTGGTTCCCAGGGGAAGTAGATGAGGGGCCCCATCTTCATGGCTCTCTCATCTGCAGGCTGGGCAGCTGATGTGCACCCCTGTCTGTAGGACATGAAGGCACATGGTGTGCCCCTCTGGCTCCTGGGCATGATGGCCATCCTATGCTTAGGGCACAGCCATGCTCTCAGGAGATGTCCCATCTCCATGGACATGCACCACCTGCAGCAGAGTTTCCAAGACATCAAAAGAGCCATGGTGAGTGTGGGTTGAGGTGAGGGGTGGGCAGGGGCTGTGCTAGCTTCTCTCAACCTACTGCATCCCAGGAGGACAGTGCTTGCTCATAGTTCATACTCATCTGTCTGCTCTTGTTTCCCATGCAGCAAGCCAATGATACCTTTCAAAACATCACTGTCCTGTCCACCCTGGAGAACCTGCAGAGCATTAAGGTATTGGCTTGTGTCTGCTCTTTCCTGCCTTATCATCCTTATGGTACAATGGCCCTGGGCTGAAAAAGAAGTTTCCTCCCCACCTTTTCTTGTCCCTAAGCTTTGGGTACTTTACCTGCTCAGGATGGCATCTCATGTGTGTGGGAGTCAGGGGGTGCTGGGCTCCCCAGGATTTTGAGAAGTGCCACCATCCTAGAGAGATCTTGGCAAAGCTGGGTGCTTAGAATGGATGAATTTTGTGGCATTAGGAACATGTTTGTGTGTGTTTGTGTGTGTGTGTGTAGGGGGTAATTTTGGAAAGAATGTATGCATTTTGACTTAAAAGCTGAGGATAATTTCAATCAGTGGATTCATATGGGACATAGGTGTAACACTAGTGGAGGCTGAACTTAAGTCAGGAGCAGTGAGGTGACTGGTTGGTGATACAAAGGACAAATAGGTGAGTGGGAGGGAATATGGAGGAACAATACCTTGGGGTCACCTTACAGAGACGCTTGAAAACCAGGCTGGGTACCTGCTGCAATTAAGGTGGTGGTTACTGAATGCTTTGAGCTCCAAGCTCTGTGGCCACAATGTGTCTATGCCCAGTGAGGGTCACTGGCAAGGACAGTGGTTCAGTTATGCAGACAGGCTGTATACCTCACCAGGGAATAATTCATTTTATAAAAGAAGACATGAGGGGTGCTTTTGCTTATTTCATTAGCAAAAAAGAGGTGAAGATAGAGTGAGAGAGGGAGCTCATTGAACTTCTGATTCACTCCCCAAATGTTCACATTGACCAGAGTTCTTCCAGGCTAGTTAGGAGCTCTGAACTCCCTCTGGATCTCCCATGCAAGTGGCAGGGACCCAAGCACCTGAGCCATCATCCATTGTCTCTCAGGTGTGCCAGCAGGGGAGCTGGATTGGATGTGGAACTGCTGTGATTTCAACTGGCATCTCAATATGGTGGTGACTTTGACCCCTGCACCACAACATGGACCTCAAGAAGTGGCTTTAAAAGTGTGAGCATCTTGAGTTGGGCAGTGGCATAGCAAGCTAAATTGTCTGCCAGTAGTGCTGGCATTCCATAAGGGCGCCAGTTCATGTCCTGGTTGCTTTACTTCCCATCCACATCCCTGTTTATGATCTAGGAAAACAGCAGAGGATGGCCCAGGTCCTTGGACCCTTGAACCCCAATGAGAAACCTGAAAAGAAACTCCTGGATCCTAGCTTTGGATCAGCTCAGCTCTGGACATTGTGGCCATTGAGGGAGTAAACCAGCAGATGAAAGATCTGTCTCTCTGTTTCACCTTCTTTCTGTAAAATCTGCCTTTCAAATAAAAAATAATAAATAAATAAGTAGAATTCCTCTAGTCTTTGAGAATCTTCTAGAAAGATCTGGTTTTTCAGGAATCTATGTGATAGAGTGGTAAGTTCCTGTTTTCTTAGCAATCGAAGCATAGGTCAGGGAGACCTCCACAATTCTTCCATGCAGTGACTCATTGTGGTGGTCAGATGTAGCCACTTAGTAAACACTATTCTTAACCAACTCCATTTGAGACTCTTGAGATGGCACGGCTGGAAGGAATGCTGGAGACTACTATTTTCAGATGAATACTTTCAAATAAGGACATGGAGATGTTGGATGGAAGAGTGACTCATTTGTGACTGAGTCAGAAATGGACCCCGATGTGTGGACCCCCATCTCCAGACTTTCTGTTCTCCCAAGCTGCAGTGCAGTAAGGCAAGGCATCAACAGGGATTCAGATCTTCATTCTCTTTCCCCTCTCCTGCTCGCTCTTGGCTCTTGCTCCCGTCCTTTGCTCTTCTCTGTGACTTTTGCTAGTGCCACAATTGTTGCTTATCTCAGAGACAGATTAAGGGACCCTGCAGTAGCAGAGGAAGGAGAAAGGTTTAGAATTGCAAATGGAGTTTGAGGCCATGTAGGAAAAGTACTCCTTGGGGCAAGAAAAAGACAGTGTTTGTTTAATAATAAACGCAGAGGCACTGTCACTTCTGTGAACCACTGCCTGCTTAGACTTAAGAGTAAATCTTCAGCAGAGTTACCCACTGGCACTCCAGGACAGGCAGAGTGTCAACTGCTAGTCAGAAAGTATCTGATTAGCTTCTCTGGGACTTAGGAGCCTTCTTTGAGAATTGAGCGCTGTGCAGGCTGAGTACTCCCCCCAAGGCTGTACCCAACACCTCAGGTGTCAGTCTACATTCTCATAAGGCTCGGATCATTCAAGTGCTCTCTGGTATTTGGGAAGGAGAGACAGGAAGGGAGCCCAGCACTGCGGTCTGAGGAAAGCACATGCTCATTACTAAGGAAGGTATGTGAGCGCAGTACAGTGTGCACGGCATGTGGCAGCCGTTGAGTGGAGGTGCATGCAAGATTCAGCAGAGAGGCCAGCTTCAACCTCTGAATGTGAAGGAGCATTTTCCAAGAAAGCTGCCTGGCCATCAGCCCTCTTCTGGGGGAGACGCCCTATTCCTGGAAGGATGTGAGCAGAAGTCAGTGAGGCCATGCTGTGGGTGCTAGCCAGAGAATTCTAGTCCTTGACTGGTTCCTGGCCTCATCCTCTCTGTGGGCCATGCAGAAAGAGGGGTCAACTGGAGCTCTCTCCTCCTTGCTGTGGCTCCAGTGGCTTTGATGTGGTAAGAGGGGAGGAACACTCCGAGACCATTATGGATTTTGGAAAATGATTCTCAGTTCTCTGCCCTAGTGCTGTCCACACTGGACAGATACCAAGAACTGGAGCTTCTGGAGTTTCTGTTTTGTGTCTGTAGCCACTGGATGTGTGCTGCGTGACTGGGCACCTCCTGGCATTCTACGTGGACAGGGTGTTCAAGGATCATCAGGAGCCGGATCCGCACATCTTGAGGAGAATCAGTGGCATTGCCAATTCCTTCCTCCACATGCAGAAGATGGTTCAGCAATGTGTGAGTCATTGGGCTGGGATTCTAAGTTTCTGCTCCATGTCTGTCCTGGGGAGAGCCCAGGACATTCTGGCCCCAGCTGGCCTTTTAAAAGAGGCCTGGAAGCAAAGGAAATCCCCTGCTCCATCCTTCATCCACAGGCAGGAGGCCTCTTGCACAGTCACTTTGCTCCCAAGGCCCACTGACATTTCCTGAGATGTTGTGGGGTGACTGGTGCACATACAGTATCCCTTGAGATGACCCCTGTGGCCTGGGAGAGAGATGAACCCAGTTGTACCCATTGCCTCTGGCCTTAGGGGGTTTTCAAGCCAGGTCTAGTCTCTTGAGAGAGTCTTGCCGTAAGGCTCACAGAAAAACCCATTATGATCTAGTAAAATCGAATATTGGAAAGGAAAACCAAACCAACAAAAACTTAGAGTGTGAGAAAAACATGATTCTAGCTCCATTTTTGCTGAGCATTTCCTCTGTAACTTTGTGGCAAGTGAGTTCATCCCTCTGGGGCTTACAGCCTCAGCTAGCTACAAAGGCCGATGACTGTCATCTGGCCTACTTACACTATCAAGGGCATGAAATCTAATGGATTTGTTTAACCAACTAATTAATTAACTAACCCAACTTTTTTCCCTTACCTTGTGGGATGTTATATTCACAGGGTGTAAGACAGTGTTGGTTTCTGCTCTGCTAGTACTGATAGGTTCATGAGCTGTTCAGGCAGAAAAAGCAGGTGGAGTCTACAAACTGGGACTATTCCCCACTGGCCACTCCCAGCTGAGTTTATGCACCTGGCTCATGCTGTGGGAGGGTGGAACGTGATAACTGCTCATGTGGGGACATGGCAGGCTGGGAAGCTCCTCTGACAGGCGCTGCTTCTCCATCACAGCAGGTGCAGAGACAGTGTCACTGCAGGGAGGAAGCCACCAATGCAACTCAAATCATCCATGACAACTATAATCAGGTAAGGTCACAATGAAGGTGGGCATCGAGATTAGGAGCCTGACTGAGAGGGTGGCAACCCTTCAACCTCCTCCTGACTCAGATTCACTCCTTTGCTCAGCTAGTATCAAGTGAGGACCTTTCTACTTGTGAGCCAGTGCAAAGAGTGTGTAGATTTTGCCTGACTGGCTAATTCCCTGGGCTTTCCTGCTCCATTAACCCTCCACCACGTTGAAAAGTTTATCATTATGTTTGACAGGGAGAGAGGGAGAAAGAAAGAGATCTCAACTACCAGTTCATGCTCCCGATGCCCACAGTGGCCACAGCTGGCAACTCGTTTCAGGTCTTTCATGTGAGTGGCAGGAACCCAGTTATTTGAGCCATCACTCACTGCTTCCCAGCATCTGTATGGGCAGAAAAAGGCGGGGCCGGGAATTGAACTCAGGTACTCAAATGTAGGCACCTTAATCAGTGTCCAAACTGCAGCCTGCCTCACTGTTTCCTTGTGCTCTCACATGGCAGGCCTAACCTGGATTATTGTCTGGGGACAGTGCACGCTGCTTAAGATGGGGACGATGCTGAGGGAGCAAAGAATGGCTGTGAGCTGCATGCTTTAGGTACCGGGCATGGGTCTGGGAGTGTACTGTGGTCACTCCCCGGCCTCAACACTGTATGTGCTGAGGTCTTCAGCTATGGATGTTGGCACAGAAGCTGTTTGTTCCCTGTGTCTCCTGAAGACCTGGATACCAGGCAGATTCTGGCTCCATAGGTCTTGGTCCAACCCTGGATTTTTGCATTCAAACTCACCCCTGCATGAGCCGATGTTTTGATGAGGAAGGAGGTTGAGGTTTGCTCAGAGCTCTGCTTCTTTGTGGGGGAGGTTGAGATGCTAGGACTGCAACAGCTAATAGTATATAGTTGCTGCTATGAGCCAGGTACTGTCTAGGCACTCAAGAAGGATTCACAGTGATTGTTCCCAACAAAGGGATGAGTTTCCTGTGAAGGGAATAAGAAGTCAGGAAACCAAGGCACATCAGGGTGGGTGAGATCGGTTCACACTGCAACCAAACGGTAAGTGCAGGATTAGCTCCCATGTGGGCTGGCTCCATGGGATATGTCTTGAGACCTACCACCTCCCTCTGGGCTATCGGGGAAGGAGGCAGAGTGAATCAGGTCACGTGGGCTCCAGTTCTAACTCTGGGGCTCTCTCGCCTCCTGAGGTTGGACAGGACACTCACCCTCAGGCCATGTCAGATGGGAACATCAAGCATCAAGGGGATTAAGACTTCCTGGGAGAAGAGGGACTAATGTGAGAAAGATGCTAAGCCAAGGGCTGGCCCACCAGGATTGTTTTACTTAGAAGAAGCCAGCACTTACTTACATCTGCTGATTTATGGAATGAAATTCTAGGATTATGCTGTGCAAATACATTCCATGAATGAAAAAGAACCCTGTGGGGACCAGACTATGGGGTGAGTGCTTGAGGGGTCACGTAGGGTCTGGGACAGCAGGTGCTGACTGCGGCTTCCTTGGTTTCAGTTGGAGGCCCGCTCAGCCGCCATCAAGTCACTGGGAGAGCTCAACGTCTTTCTGGCCTGGCTTAGCGAGAATCACCAAGACGGCTCTGCAGCCTGACACCAGGACGACCACTTGATCACTCCACCGTGAAATTTCTTGGGGCGACAGCTGATCTGGAAGGGGGAGGAACATGAGGAAGACCTCCTCATGCATATCCCAGTGTCAGGCTTTTGGGAGAAGGCCTTCTGTTGACTTTGAGCTGTCACTGTGTGGTTTGGAGGATGTAGGGAGGCACTGGAGCCAAGCAGATCCTGCTCTGCAGCTGAAGATCTTATGACTGGTCCTAGGCTGCCTTTTCCCCACCTAGGCATACCAGGTGCTCCAGTGTCTTATAAATCACAGAATATGTCTTTCCAAGGTCCCGTGAGCTGGCCCAGGAGGACAAGGCCCACTCCCCCGTAACTTATTTTGAGGTTGTTGATCCCACAGAATGAGAGCTCTGTGTTCCTTTGTGATGCACACTGTCCTGATTAATCTTAATAAATGCTGTTTTTTACCTGTGAGTAAAAGCATCTTTTGATCCAGGGAGTCAGTCAAGGAGTCCTGAATGGAGAAATCAGGAATGAAAAGACATAGGCAAATGGAGATATTGAGTGCCACCTGCTGTAAGCTGAGTGTCTTCATCACTGGAACAAATTTTCTGAGGCCAAGTAACTTCAGAATGAAAAGAGGCTTGTTTAGCTCATGCTTCTGAGCTTTAAGGGCAGGATTCTAGGTCTGATTCACACTCAGCCCTTAAGGCAGGTACAGGTACACACAACCTTCAAAGCAGGTATAGTCACACTCAGCCCTCACTGCAGGTGTAGCCACACTCAGCCCTCACTGCGGGTGCACTCACACTCAGCCCTCACTGCAGGTGTACTCACACTCAGCCCTCACAGTGAGTGTACTCACACTCAGCCCTCACTGTAGGTGGACTCACACTCAGCCCTCACTGTGGGTACACTCACACTCAGCCCTCACTGCGGGTGCACTCACACTCAGCCCTCACTGTAGGTGTACTCACACTCAGCCCTCACTGCAGGTGTACTCACACTCAGCCCTCACTGCGAGTTTAGTCACACTCAGCCCTCACTGTGGGTGCACTCACACTCAGCCCTCACTACAAATGCAGTCATACTCAGTTCTCATGTTGAGTGATTTTAAAAACAGCTTACTTTCTGAAAATTCACTTGGCATGCTAGGAGAATGAGCTTAGCTCCTTCCCAGGAGCAGCATCCTTGATGATCCCGGGACTTCACACTCATGGTCCGCTCTCCTCCACCCAAGGGGAATTCTTACCACCACATCTCACACAGTCACACCCAAGTGTTTGACATGGGTATCCCTGAGGAAGAACATTCTCGGTTAGCCATACCTACATCGTAGCACCAGGTCTCTGAATACCCCACCCAGGTCCACCAGGCCATCAAAAGATGGCCAGAGGCCTCTGACTGACCACTAACTTCTTCCTGTGTCACTCTCATTGCTGATGTCTCTCCTTACATTCTTGTCTTGTCTCCTTACACATTTTCCCTGCCTTTGTTGCCGTTCTTTTCTTTCTCACTATTCCCAGCATAGATAGGTCTCCCCAACCTGATCTATCCACCAGGAATTTACACCTTGGGCAAGGTAGAATGTGTTTCTGAAAAGGATAAGCTTATTATGAAGATGAAAAAAATTTAAAATTTTACTTCTTTTTATTATTATCATTTTATGATACAGTTCCATAGGCCCTGGGATTTCCCTTATTCCCCCATGTGCCTCCCCCGCCCATTGAGTTCCCCTATATTATTACTATAGTACAGTTCTTCATACACAGTCATATGCTCATCATTGTGGGCATAGACAAACGCAGAGAGTCCAGCAGCCTATCGTGAAGATACTGTAAACAGTTTATTGGGAGTCCATCATCATCTGGAAGTAGAGATGCATACTGCATTGTATCCTCACATCTGGATATAACAGTTTCCATTACACAGTTACTATACATCCCCTTAAATAAAAAACCACAAAACAAAATCAACAACAGGAAGAAAAAAAGAAATAAAAGAAATTAACAACCCCATGAAGTTAAATAACATGCTACTGAATGACAAATGTGTCGCCGAAGAAATGAAAATCAAGATCTTTCTTGAAGAAAATGATGTTGCTCTATGATCTATGAGTCATTGAAGAATTTAATCAGAAGAAAATGTTTTGAAGAGGTGAATATAATGAAAGAAATCAAAATCCATGAGATAATAGTGTCCCCTGATCTTTGTTGGTGAAATGTGTCTCCTGTAGGCAACAAATAGATGGGTTTTGTTTTTTAATCTAGTCTACTAATCCATGACATTTGATTGATGAGTTTAAGCCATTTACATTCAGGGTAAATATGAATGGGTGGTCAGGAGAACATCTTTAAGTATCATTTGTAGGACAGGTTTGGAAGAGGCATATTCTTTTAAGTTTTCTTTACTGTGGAAGAATTTTATTTCATTTTCAAAGACAAAAGAAAGCTTTGCTGAGTACATTATCCTGGACCAACAAATTTTGCTTTTGGAATCTGGATTATGTGGCTCCAGTCTCTTCTGGCTTGTATAGTTTCCTGTGAGAGGTCTCCTGTGAGTTTAATTGGCATTCCTTTATATGTCAATTGACTTTTTGCACATGCACATTTAAGGATCTTTTCCTTGTGTTCTATTGAAGAAAGCTTGATGATCATGTGTCTTGGTGAAGATCGCATTTGATCAAGCCTGTTGGGAGTTCTGTGCCCCTTCTGAGTGTTGTTTCTCAATTCTTTCTCTAGATTAGGGAACTTTCCCTGTATTATTTCATTAAATATATTTGTAAAACCAGTTTCTCTTTCTGCACCTTGTGGGACTCCCACAACTCTTATATTTGGCTTTTAATAGTGTCTTTCAATTCTTGAATCCTTTTTTTGGTATGATCCAGCACTGCTTCCAGCTTTTTGTTTGCTTCCCCCTGGTGATAGGAAATATCTTCTAATTTTTGAGGTTCTTCTGCTTGCTTCATTCCATTTTGGAGACTCTCCACTGTACTTTTAATTTGCTCCACTGTATTCTTCATTTCTGATATATCAGCTTTCATTTGATTCATTTCCAGTGTCACATATTCTTTAAATTCCTTGAATGCCTGTTTTAGTTGCTTCTCGTTAAGAAGTCTTATAACAAATGTTTTGAATTCTGTATCCCCCATTTTCTTGATGTACTCCTCAATTAACTCTGAAGTTAACAAAGGGTTTTGCTCCTTTGCAGGGGAGTCCTCAGTAATATTCATTGTACCTTTGACTCTTCTTTTGCTCTTGGTCATCGTACTTCTGGTTAGCAGATTTTTCTCCTTGGGGCAGGTTTCTAAGCTGTGTCACCCACAGGTCTACAGTTCAATTTTACTTATTGCAATTGGTACACAGCTCTTTGTTTGCAGCCAATTGTGCCACTCCCTCCAGCAAGTTCCAAGTCTGGGTTCTTATGTTAGATTTCCATCATTGTCTCCATAGCCCCAACTCCTGGCTCACCAATCTCTACCTCCTGTGATACCATGCTGAGCTGCACTGTTGTCTATACAAACTTTCTCCCACTTCTGGTTGGAGCAGGTCCCAGGATTAGGGAAACACCAGGTGTTCTATATAGCTAGGTTGTTGGTAGTATTGATCTTGCTGGAACCTGTTGGTTGTTAGGTCTGTGGGTCATGTAAACCTATTTTGACCTGTACGATGCCATACTTGGTATTATTTTCCTGCAGGACCAGTGCAATCCAATGGGCTCAGTGATTTCTCCCTGAGCTCAGAACATGCACAGCTCACTGTTGGCTCCTGCAGTCCTAAAGCTTTTGCCACAGTGTATAAAATGATGCCTGACATACACTACTAGAGTTGTTGATCTGCTGGCTGTCAGGTCTGAGGGCTACCCAGACCTGTCTTAGGTGGAACCTGCAGAATGTGACATTGTTGCAGTTCACTGAGCCAAAAATGATTTTACTGCTAGCTCAGTGTATGCACAGTACTGTCCATAGCCCTTGCCTCCTTAAACAAAACGACACCTGATATGGCTCTAGGGGGCTGACTGGGTTGTGAAATCTACCCTGTTTCTGCACTGCCTGTCTGGGATCTGCTGCTCTGTCTCTGCTCCTGATCAAATCAAACAGATCAGCAGGATGGGTAGTTCTTTGGGTTCACCTCCTGAGCTTCCCCAGTGAAACAGCCTTCCCACTTGGTTGCTTGTGGAGTTCCTGCTGCCAGGGCGATCCGGATCACCACTCACTGAATGCCATTGGGGTATCAGTCACTGCAACACCACACCGTTGTGTCTGCTGCTTTCCTGTGTCTCTGAGTCTCCAGGTACTGCAGAACTCTTCTATTCTGTCCTCTCCTGTTTCCTGAAATGTACCCGCTCTGCTTCACAGTGGCTAATATTTCTCCATCTGTTTAAGCATGTCCTTACCTCATTCTGCCATTTTGATTCTCAGAATATGAAAATTTAATAAACACATCCCACAGGTAAGGGAAACTCTGGTAAGAGGTCCAGTGCCAGTGAACACAGCCAGACGCCGGGGTGGACATTGCCTGGATGATGCAGAGCACAAACACCTTCCTGAGCAGCTGATGCATACAGAGCAATTCCTGTTTGCTGTGTGCAGGTATAGCACTTCCTTTTCTATACAAGGAGATATTAGCAGCATTCTCCAAGGGTTGCTGTGAGCATTAAGTGCCATCAAGGGCTTACAGAAACCTCCATACAGTAGAGGGCTGCCTGTTTGCGGGACTGAGACAGGAGCCACACCCTGGTTCTATGGCTTCTCTTGCCTTGCATGGCAAGAGAAGGGCAGGCCCCTGAGGTTCTCCCATTTCCACCCTCAGCAACCTTACTGGTAGCTGTTTTCCTGTTTTCTTAGCATCTCATTTTGTTTATTGCATGCTTCCTCACTTGAATGTAAAGCTCTATGTGTGTGTGTGTGTGGGTGTGTATGTGTGGGTGGGTGGGTGTGTTGGGGAGTGGGGGAGGTTTTTGGTTTATTTATTACTTGGTACTTAATCAGTGTTAAAGTTGCCTTTATTTAGGAATGTTTTTCTCTAA